CTTCAAGTTGAAATTTGATTGCAGAAACCTCCTATGGCAAATTCCTTACAATGAGGTTGCGTCATCCATGTTATTCGTGAATCATATATGGCAGCGGATACTATGGCTATAATAAGACACAACATCGCGAGTATTTTGTTGTTTTTGATTGTATCCCCAAGCAATTAATTATGCATATATTGTGGAATTGACATAATTGAGATTAAATTCTTTAAAACTCACTGTTATATTTTTCTTTTAAGTAATGATGTATCCTTTCACTACTAATTTCCTTTTAATATTAAATTTTTATTTTATTTTTTTAATTTCAAGTGCCCAGGCATTGCCCGGGGTATTAACTAGTTGTTAACCTAACTCTAGTCCAATAAGATAGCCCATATTCATTAAAACTAAGGCCCAATTGGTATAAATTAATAGTTTAGCCCAACAAGAATTAAACCAAACTTATATGGACTAAACCCACAATTTAAATAAGCAAAACCATTATAATATATATAAAATACTAATAAAAATTAGTAGAAGTACGTACAAAGTTAATAAAAAATTAAAAATTTATACTTTCAAATAAAGTGTTATGTGAAAATAAGTTTGCTAAAAGTATTGTGAAACGAAGCTAAAGTAAAAAAATATATATATATACCAATTATAAGAGTCAAACTTTTCAAATCTCAACTTAATAAACCAAAGACCCAAAACAACTAAATCCAAACTGGCCTAACCTCTTTGCTAGGTATAATATCCTTTTGATCAATTATGCTAATTTGTCTCATATTAGGTGGCAGGTTAGGTACGTTAACAAATTTTCTATGTTCAAAATACTTTAGTCCCTACAGTTCACTCTTTGGACACAAAATTTTCGCTAAATAAAATCTGAAATATCAAAATTTGCCTTATGTTGTCTCCGTGGTGGCCTAATGACAGAATCCCTGGATTTTCCTTTTATTCTAAGCCCAAATAAGTTTTATTCATAATATTTTCATTTATTAACCTAGCTCTAGCATAGTAAGACAGATGGCCCTTATTATTTAAAACATAGGTCCAATGGGTGTGAATTAATGGACTAAGCCCAGAAACTTGTCTTCACAGCCCAATTTATATTAGCAAATTCCATATAAAATTTTGGTCTATCCCTTTTCTTCTTGCTTTCTCTTTTTCCCTGAATTTTTCTAATTTTGTTTTGCAGAGGTTAGACGTAAGTAGCTGAGTTTTCTGGTCTCCGTTCCAGCTTTTGCGTGACATATGCTACAAACACCAGAGGAACTTCTTTTTCTGAGGTGGTGGCTGCTTAGCTTACTCCTATCGTTGATTGCCTACTTCAACCTTCTGATCTTTTTTGAGTTTTCTTTCTTCTTTTTTTTTTTTTGGCTTGTGCACAGAGATTAGACCAGTGATGCTAATATCTTTCTAAAAATGTTCAGTGCTTTCTTGCAATATTTGGCACAATTAAGCTGTTCTGGAGTTCTGAGTCCATATAAACACTTCTTTGTATATTCTAATAGTCTCATCTTTTTTTAAAAGTAAAACAATTGATCAAATCTTCCGAGCTTTGGATTAGGCTGCGTGACAGGAAATTTCCCTGCCTTCAACTTTTCATGAATCTCATGATGTCTTTTATGAAAGAAAAAGCGCATCATCCTTGTGAATAATCAGCTATATGGTAAAAATATACAAGAAAATGTACAAAGTACTTTCAACATGAACCTTATAATCCTAAAATATAGTTTGTTGTGAGGCACCATTGTTGTGGTTTTGACTTCTGATGGGTATTTCCAAATTTAGACAGTAGCATCAACTCCTGTCAGGAGAGAAACAGTTGCCAAATTGAAGGTTGCAATCAATGGATTTGGACGCATTGGCAGAAACTTCCTTTGGTGCTGGCATGGCCGGAAAGACTCACCCCTTGACGTGGTTGTTGTTAATGATAGCGGTGGTGTAAAAAATGTAAGTAACTGACAGTTTCTTACATTCATCAACTTCTGGTGTGCCATATAACACAGGCTTCACACTTGTTGAAATGCGATTCAATGCTTGGAACTTTCAAAGCAGAAGTCAAAATTGTGGATGATACCACCATTAGCTTTGATGGCAAGCCAGTCAAGGTTGTCTCTAACAGGGACCCTCTCAAGCTTCCATGGGCTGATCTTGGCATTGATATAGTCACTGAGGTGGGTCCTTGCACTTTCTCCTCATCAATTGTAGTTCTCTAAAGCATAATTTCTTTCACCAGGACAAACACCTTCAGTTCCAGTTTCATAGTAGGAATCTTTTCAACAACTGTACTAGATTATTGAACTACGCAAAGGGATGGAAAATTAATTAAAGACAGAATTTTAGGAGTCTTTTTAGATGACTGGAGAAGTTCATATGCATACTTTAGGGAACAAGAGTTTTCGTGGATGGCCCTGGACCTGGGAAGCACATTCAAGCTGGTGCTAAGAAGGTTATCATCACTGCTCTAGCAAAAGGTGCACCTTTTGTATATTTTTATATCTATTGTTTTGTTAAAATAAATCAATTTAAATTTTAATTATATAT